TATACTTTCCGGTGTAAGGTGTTTGCATAATTTCGACTTGAATACCATTAACTTAGGCGATGGCCTAATTTATGGCAGAAGATTATTCCAAGGGAAGGCATTTTTGGATGCAAAGAAGAGGGAGCGTTTAGATATAGCGCAAATAGGCGGCGGAATCACCATAGAGGAGTTGCGCGTGGCATAAGGTCTGTCTCTCGGAGTGAGAGTGTCAATGAGTGGAAGATTGGAGCTAGAGTTAATGCGAAAAAGGAAGCAAGGGCCATCTTCGAGTCTTCTAACTCACAAGAACTTAATGTTTGCCAGCTGACATCTCTGAGTATAAGTACCGGGTACGACTTGAGAGAACAGCCTCCGAGTGAAAACCCTCTGAACATTTTCGATTTTATTAAGGTCACAGGCGTTCATTAAAGCAAAGAACCAACAACAGTATTTGAGGACTGGAAGAACAAACATCTGATAAAGTCTTAGTTTCATTTCCGGAGGGAAAAATTACGCTTAATCAACTCACATATCTGCGCGGCTTTGGCAGAGATTCTATCTGCATGAGGTGCTAAAGCGAGTTTATTTGTAAAACTTAGCCCTAGGTCCTTTATGGTGAAGCATTCTGAGAGTGGGTTATTCTGAAAAATTATAGGGCCAGGAAGTTTGGTGTGATCAAAAGACATGAAACTACACTTTGATGATGGAAACTCTATCTGCCATGTTGAACCCCATCTACTTAAGCGTAGTAAATGGGAATTGATTTTTTCAACACAAACGTTTGCGGTGTCCTTAGAATATTAGGAAACACACTTGAGGTCATCGGTATAAACAAAAGTTTGCGAATTGACGAGTTCAGTCGAGATATCATTAATGCAAAGAAGGAAGAGTAGCGGACCCAGAACCGTACCTTGAAATTCGCCACTCGTGATGAAGTGAGGTGTCGAGTAGCTATTACCAACCATGACGTTCTGATATCGGTTGGATAGATAGGACCTGATGAAGTCGGGTAAAGGCGGCCGGATGCCGAGAGCTTGTAATTTTACCAAAATACGTCTATAGGCCACCTTGTCGAAGGCTTTGCTAAGATCAATGTAGATAATTATCACTGACTGTTGCTCATTACAAAGAGAGATGATTATATTAAGAAATGCCTAGTGGCAAGTTTCGCCGGATCCTTCAGGTAAAAATCCATGCTGACTAGAGCTCAGAAGCCGATTAGCTAGACAGTAGTCAAGAAGTGTATTGACAATTATTCTTTTAAGGAGCTTTGCTAGAGACGGTGTTTTTTGCACGTCCCGATAGTTATTAACATAGGACCGAGATCCTGACTTGAAGGCGGGAATGATAATTGACGTCTTCCATGTTTCAGGAAAGAATCCTTTTGAAATATAACCCGAGAATAAATGACTAAGCAATATGAGAAGGTCGGATGTCTGTTTACTAATCTAATTGGGAATCCCGTCCATTCCTGAACAATGTGAGTTTTTCAAACGACTTATGTGTTTCTTAATGAGATCTGTGGAGACATCAATTTTACTCAGTGTCCTATCTGAAAGTGAGCGAAAGAAAGGGACTTCTTCGGACTCAGTATTAAGGTGTTTTGCCAAGAAAGCAGTAAAGAACTCCGCCTTGTCAGTGTTATTGATGAGGAGGATTTTGTTAACGTTTAGCAGGGGTGGAAGTTCGTGACCACGCTTAGAGGAGGACCGATGACGGAAAGTGATTTTCAGATTACCTACACGCTTTTAAGAGAAGGCTAAGCCTTTATCTGAATACTGACTCAATTAAACTTTTATTTTCCTCATCCTTCCCCGACAGCTTCCTCTATGACACTGATAAATGTCCACCGGGAATTTAGGACGCCGCCGTTAATTTGTGGCGGTCAAGGATGTGAGATCAACTTAAACCACGCATAATAAGTTCGTTTCGTTTAATGACAGAATTCAGGGGCTGTGAGGACTAGTTTATTCTGTACCAGGGCAGGTTACCGTAAGTTGGCTGTTTGCTTGCAACAGAGAAAAGCGTCCGCTCACGGAGAGCGTCAGTCGTGGTGTGGTTTGTTTACGCGGGAGTGGGTGTCTGGGTCAGCAGGAGGGGTGACTGTTTGAGTGTTGGTCGTGTGATTGGACAACTTAGGGGAGGAATGAAGGGCGCATTCTCACAAGGCCTCAGGGAATCAAGCCAGATCGTTCGACGCGCGCTAGGTGATACTAGTTTGTGAGGGCAGCCGGGAGTCACTGCAGCTGGACAGGAGGGGCCCCATTTCTAGCCGGCGTGGGTGGTCGTGTGTCAGCGGCCTGTCAGTGCTTGTCGCGGCCATCGACCGACAAAACGGAGCCGGAGAAAAGGGAGGCTGGAGTGGCTACTACAAATTTTCCGCATCTGCTCGCATTTTCTTCTTTTTTGAGTCGTATCGCTTCCTAGGTTCCTTCATCAGAAACGTTAATTTTTCGATTTTTCTGTGTATGCATCGTGCCCTCACACAATGCGCTTTATCGACGCTCTTGGCGGAACCTTCTGTATTTGCCATACACTAGTAGTTTGGTTTCATCTCCCTTGCCCCCTCTTGGGCTGGACTCGGCTGAATGTAACTGATAGCATCTGGGTTCCTATCGCCTCGGGACTGGTTTTCTATTCGCCACTTTGACATGAATGACCTCATCCGGCGTATGAATTCTGCCTTCATGATGCCCGTTTCGAACCTTTTAGTCCAGGCCACAAAGAGGCCAGTCCTGTCTGACCCACCTACTTACTCCTTCATGAAATCCGTTATGCAATGCCATTTACAGGTCGGTCCTGCCTGCTTTTTATATATTAAGTAGCGAGAGTTTTCTTCCCTTGTAGTGTTAATCCAGTCATGCTCATTTTGTTTATGTTAGGAGTTTTTTTCACTGCTCGCTCAACATTCTCCATAACATACAACTTATTCAATGACTATGAATTATGTATTGTATAAATTCTGTATACCTCGTCCAAAATTCTAAAATGAATGTAACAGTTATTCTTAACTTCTTGAATAAAAGTTATTATTGTTAATATAAGATGTAAGTGACGGATTTGCCAGGGTTCGAACCACTGAGGGCAAGTGATTCTCTTTGCCTTTCGCGCACTTCGCTCATTCTTGAGGCCATTTCAAAATCTTTGTGATTCTAAGCTAAACTGATAAGGAACTCGTGGATAGGTCACGCTTCTTCCGTCTTAGCGTTTTTTTTTCTGTTGCCAAGTATTGTAGCGGCCGACGACGTCAAGGGTAGCACACACCGAAGTAAGGGAACGCCGAGAAGCGCTTTTGGCCAGGGTAGACCTGAACGGAGCTGTTAGCATTCCTTGATACAAATCCATACACAGAAGAAGAAGGCATGTCGAATAAGAGATAAAGTGTAATATGACGAGGTTGCACGGTGAAACTTATAATAATCGTTAATAGTACAGGTAGGATGGTTACATCTGTAGAATGACCTGTCTAGGTGGAGAGACGATGCCAACATGCCAGTTAGTAAACCGGCGGGGAGCGCAGCGCTGGGGGCAACTGCAGGGAAGGGCCGAGGGAGTGCCGATGTAGCGAGGAGGTGAGCGGTTTGGACGATACTTTACGTTACGGCGAGGGAGAAAGGGATCGGCAGAAGAGAGGGTGATGGACACCGGTTATCTTCACCGACACGCGACTACGCCATCTCCACCCTAGGTTCTAGAACTGAAAAGTGTCACCTCATTCAAAAAACTATGTCCAAGTCCAGGGGCGTTACAGTATGTACCCCTTTGTCGTCCTGAGTAATGGGGGAATATTCACCATCAAAAATGCTTTCCGACTAGGCCATGCGGACCCAAATCGGGACCGAAATTATTTTTGGAGAACGAAGCCGAAGCATTGCTTTTGTTAGAATGTAGAGCGACCTTACGCAACTCGCACAAGGAAGTCTTTTTTCAACCGGACTACGAACCGAGGGAAAGACTGAATATGAGAAATCTGACATCAGAATTGGAGGAGAGAATTGGCAGAGAAGAGAATGGACTGATAATCAAAAATGGACAAATAGCCTTTCCTGTGGTCAGAACCTGTCCCAATGAAGGCCGGGCCTCTCCAACGAAACAGTCATTGAATATTTTCTCCGCAAATGTGCAAAGCCTCTTAAACAATCTAAACGAACTAAAAGACTTAGATGATGAAATTAAGCCAGCCATTGCGGCATTCGCAGAAATGCGGCCTACAGAAGATATCGCAGATGCAGAAATGCTACTAAGAGTATATCAGCAATTCAGGAGAGACACACTAAGCCGAGGAGGAGTCATAATTTATGTCACCTGCAAGCTGAACGCTATGGCTGACGTACATAGTCTGGTACGGGATGTGGAACTGCCAAGTGTTACCATATCTGCTAAGAATGTCCGACCACTGACGCTTTCGTTGGCGTACCGTTCACCTAACCATACTTCTAACCAAGATCTGTAGCAGCCGCTCCAGCCCCCCTTTTCTCCGGCTCCGTTTTGTCGGTCGATGACCGCGATAAGCACTGACAGGCCGCTGACGCACGACCACCCCCGCCGGCTAGAACTGGGACACCTCCGGTCCAGCTGCAGTGAACCCCGGCTGCACTCAAAAACTAGTATCGCCTAACGCGCGTCGAACGCTTTGGCTTGATTCCCGTGAGGCCTTGTGAGTATGCGCCCTCCATTCGTCCCATAATTAGTCCAATCACACGACAACCACGCAGATAGTCACCCCCTCCTGCTAACTTAGACACACACACTCGCGTTAACAAGACACACCGCGACTGACGCTCTCTGCGAACGGACGCTTTTCTCTGTTGCAAGCAAACCACCAACTTACGGCAACCTGCCCTGTGTACAGAATAAACTAGTCCTCACAGCTCCCTGCCTTCTGACAGTAGACGAAACGAACTTATTGTGCGTGGTTTTAAGTCGATCTCACATCCCTGACCGCCGCAAATTGGTGACCCCGAATTTTGAACACAGGAGTTTATTGAGTGTCTGTCAGTCATCCGTTCATCTCCTCCACCATGTCCGGCGACGAGACGTCAGTGCCCGTTCCCTCTACATCGCACGTCGCGGTTAAACTTCCAACCTTCTGGCCACGAAATGTCGAGCTTTGGATTGCGCGTTGCGAAGCCGAATTCGAAGCATGCAACGTCACTCGTCAAGAGACCATGTTCAATCACTTGCAGCGTTGTCTTCCTGACGAGTATGCGGAGGAACTCTGCGACCTCCTCATCCACCGCCCTTTAGAACAACCTTACGACAAGTTGAAAGAGGCTCTGGTAAAGCGCGTAGCCATGACAGAGGAGCGCCGACTACGACAACTTCTCACTGGCGAAGAGCTCGGGGACTGAAAACCTTCTCAACTACTGAGAAGAATGCAGCAGCTTGTTGGCGAACGCAAGTTCGACACCTCCATCCTTCGCCAACTTTTCCTTTAGCGTCTCCCACTCGACGTCCAGACAGTTTTGGCTGTTTCTCAAGGAAGCATGGAAGAATTGGCAGAGCTTGCCGACAAGGTTATGGCATTGAGAGTCGCAGAGACTCATTCAGTAATTCACACCGCCAGCCCTATTTCTCATGAATATGATCAGCGCCTTGATCGACTCGAGCAGTTGGTCATGCAACTGACAACTCAACTCAGTGCAGTTGCCGCAGGAGGTCCGAGGCTATCAAGATACCGTCGGCGGAGTTCCTCACGTTCCTGTAATCGTCGCCAGCAGTCTTCAAGTGGCATGTGCTGGTATCACCAGAATTTTGGACAAGCAGCACGACGATGTCTGAAGCCATGTTCATTTAAGTCACCTCTCAAGGCTTCGGGAAACGATCCCACCCGACAGTAGCGGCGAATACTGCCGGGGGCGCTTCCAATGTTCACACTCGCCGTTTATTTCTCTGGGACCGTATCGCTGGCGCCAAATTCCTTGTCGACTCTGGTGCCGAGGTTAGCGTGGTTCCGCCAACTCCGGCCGAACGCAAACACCGCAGCTCTTTTTGTCTAACAGCTGCCAACAACTCCAGCATCCCCACTTTTGGACAGCGCTCCATCACACTCGATTTGGGCCTTCGTCGGATTTTCCGATGGGTTTTCATTATTGCCGACGTTTCCGTCGCCCTCATGGGCGCCGATTTCCTAGCTCACTTCAATTTACTAGTTGACTTGAGGAATCGCCGGCTTGTCGACTGCATCACCAACCTTCATACCCGTTGTCAATCCGGTGTGTACCCCTGCGTCAACCCTCTCACTGTTATGCCCATTTCTGACTGTCCTTTCCACTCACTCCTCAGGCAGTTTCCCCGCCTGACCAACCCCTCATTTCGGGAAGTGGACATCAAGCACACAGTCACCCACCATATTTCCACCACCGGAGCTCCCAAATCTTGCCGACCACGTCGTCTTGCTCCGGACCGTTTGAAGATTGCCAAGGCAGAGTTCGAACACATGCTCGAGCTCGGCATCATCCGACAGTCCGACAGCTGCTGGGCATCACCCCTCCACCTTGTCCCCAAGAAGAATGGCGACTGGCAACCGTGTGGTGACTATCGGGCGTTGAACTCTGTGACTGTCCCCGATCAGTATCCCGTCCCGCACATCCAAGACTTCACCCTTTCGCTACATGCTTAGCGAATATTCTCTAAGTTCGACCTTGTGCGCGCCTACCATCAAATCCCGATCGAAGCCAGTGATGTTCCGAAAACTGCAGTGACCACTCCCTTTGGGTTATTCGAGTTCACTCGTATGCCCTTTGGTCTGAGGAACGCCACTCAAACCTTTCAGCGATTCATTGATCAGGTTCTGCGAGGTCTCGAATTCGTCTACGCCTACATTGATGATTTGGTAGTGGCTAGTTCTGATGCTGCTGAACACGAGATTCATCTTCGACAGCTCTTCGAACGGCTCGACTCCTAGGGCGTTATAATCAATGCCGCCAAATGTGAGTTCGGAGTCCCCAGCCTTATCTTCCTTGGTCACGAAGTGAACTCAGATGGGATAAAGCCCGTTCCAGAAAAGGTTTCGGCCATATCAACGTTTCCCGTCCCGACAACCATCAGCCAACTACGCCGATTCTTGGGGATGATGAACTACTATCACCGTTTTCTTCCCCATGGTGCCACCATACTGCAGCCTCTCAACAGCTTGCTGACCCACTCCAAGAAGACTTTAGTGATGACCGAGGAGGCCGTCAGGTCCTTCAATGACGTCAAGGCCGCACTTGCGGACGCAACATTGCTTGCCCATCCTCGCTCAGATACCCAACTAACTCTCATGACAGATGCTTCCAGCACTGCCGTTGGTGCGTCACTTCAGCAAACTGTTGGCGGTGTTCTACAACCTCTGGCTTTCTTCTCGAAGAAGCTCAGCCCAGCAGAGACCCGCTACAGTGTCTTCGGCCGCGAACTCCTTGCCGTCTATCTATCCATCCGGCACTTCCGCCATTTCCTCGAGGGTCGTGAATTTGTTGTTCTAACATATCACAAGCCATTTGTTTTTGCACTGAGGGCCTATCCCGATCGCTACTCGCCCCGTGAAATTCGCCATCTCGACTTCATCTCACAGTTTTCCTGCGACATCCAACATGTCCACGGTAAGGAAAATGTGGTTGCTGATGCTCTTTCAAGAATCGAGATGGCCTCCATCACAACAGACGCCATAGACCTCACGCTCATGGCTGAGGCTCAACGATCGGATGGCGAACTTCCCCAATACCGCCACGAGGACTCTTCTTTACGCCTTCAAGATGTCCCCCTTCCCACTGGCACAGGCACCATCACGTGTGACCTTTCTACCGGACACGAACGTCCTTTTGTTCCAGCAACTTTACGACGACGAGTGTTCAACGCTCTTCACAATCTATCCCACCCTGGAGTCCGGGCGACAGTGAAACTCATCACTGACCGATTCGTCTGGCCCAACATCAACCGGGATGTACGGCGTTGGACCCGCTCCTGTCTACCATGCCAACGAGCCAAAACGCATCGGCATGCTATTACTCCGCCAGGAACTTCCGCCACCCCTGATGCACGCTTCAGTCATGTGCATATTGACCTGGTAGGTCCGCTGCCACCATCTAGCGGTTCTACCTATATGCTGACATGCATTGATCGTTTTACTCGGTGGCCGGTCGCTGCGCCCATTCCGGACATCAGTGCCGAAACCGTTGCAAGAGCTTTCTTGACTCATTGGGTGTCCAATTTTGGAGTTCCTGCGACTGTCACCACTGACCGCGGATCCCAATTCGAGTCCACGCTGTTTCGCGAACTCACATGCCTTCTCGGCGCCAACCGAATCCGAACAACAGCGTACCACCCTCAAGCAAATGGTCTTGTCGAACGCTTCCATCGACAGCTTAAGACTTCCCTTATGGCCCAGCCCGATCCTTCCCGATGGTCTGATCACCTTCCCCTGGTGCTGTTGTCCCTCCGTTCCACTCTCAAGACCGACATCGGTTGCACTGCAGCTGATCTTGTCTACGGAACCTCCTACGACTTCCATGTGAGTTAGTGTCTCCCTCAAACATGCTAACGTTTTTCGAACCTTGCAGTTATGTGGAGCAGCTGCGTAGTGTTATGCGCAAACTCCGCGCAACGCCCCCTCGGGCGTCACCGGCCAACTCCTTCATCCCTTCCGACCTGGATAAGTGCGATTTCGTCTTGGTTCGGCATGACGCTGTCCGACGACCACTCCAACCACCCTATGACAGGCCGTATAAAGTCCTTCGTCGATCTGACAAAGACGTTGTCATCGACCGCAACGGCAAGACCGACGCAGTCAGCATTGATCTCGTCAAGCCGGCCTACATCGACGACAGTGACCTTTCCTCACCCCTACACTGTGCCCCGCCGCAAACAGTGGTGCCTCCACCTTCCGGCGACAGTCCCCCTCCGGTTCGCCGCACACGATCTGGCCGTCACGTCCACTGGCCCGACAGGTTTGTGGCTGGTTAACATGTCGACGCCTTCACTTCGTTTGGTGTCTGGGGGGGGGGGTTGTAGCAGCCGCTCCAGCCCCCCTTTTCTCCGGCTCCGTTTTGTCGGTCGATGACCGCGATAAGCACTGACAGGCCGCTGACGCACGACCACCCCCGCCGGCTAGAACTGGGACACCTCCGGTCCAGCTGCAGTGAACCCCGGCTGCACTCAAAAACTAGTATCGCCTAACGCGCGTCGAACGCTTTGGCTTGATTCCCGTGAGGCCTTGTGAGTATGCGCCCTCCATTCGTCCCATAATTAGTCCAATCACACGACAACCACGCAGATAGTCACCCCCTCCTGCTAACTTAGACACACACACTCGCGTTAACAAGACACACCGCGACTGACGCTCTCTGCGAACGGACGCTTTTCTCTGTTGCAAGCAAACCACCAACTTACGGCAACCTGCCCTGTGTACAGAATAAACTAGTCCTCACAGCTCCCTGCCTTCTGACAGTAGACGAAACGAACTTATTGTGCGTGGTTTTAAGTCGATCTCACATCCTTGACCGCCGCAGATCTCATGCTCATAACTGAACTTAACAAAGTCAGTGGGAAGAAAGATGTCCTTATCGTTGGGGATTTTAACGCTCCTGACGTTGATTGGCTAACGTGGACTGCACAAGGGCTGCAAGACAGCTTTAATCACAAACTACTACATTGAGCAACGAACAAACTTCTCTGTCAGAATGTTACCTTTGGAAGACGAGTCAGTGAAGGACAGAAGTCGAACTGCCTTAATCTTATTTTTACCCGAGAGGAGGCAAATGTGTTAGACCTGCAGGACGGACTGCCATTAGGGTCAAGCGACCACATCACGCCCTCTTCGAGCACTCTCTGTTTTCATAACCTGAACAACCCGATAGGTGGGAGAGAGACATTTGGAAAGGGGACTATTCTCTCATGAGGGAAGCGGCAGCTGTATTTTGGAGACTGAACTGCATGATCGAGCAAACGACAACCGGAATACCTTCAGTTCCTTTCTAAAAGAGATTGTTTATTCCAATTGTCCTTTCAGATGAGAGATAATCACATCGAAACGTTTGTAAAAGAGAGACCTAAACGCTGCGAAGGAAGTTTGAACTGAACATACTTCGAAAGTCGTTGGAGCATCGGAAAATTTTCTATGGTTGTATACAAAATACTCAAAGGACTCACAAGCTGATCCCTGCCCTTAGGTCTGCAGATGGAAAAGTGGAGACTGATGACCAGGTTAAAGCATTCCTCCTTTCTAAATTCTTTCTGTCCGTGTTCACACTAGAACCTAGTTCTATATTTGCCCATCCATCCGTTCGCCAAACAATCTCTCCTCTTAGTATCTTTCCCTCTCCTACTCTTTCCCTACTCTCCTTAATCGAGGAACCACTCTTCTCATCGACCATATTTAGGGCCGAGCTACTCCGGCTGAAACACGCCAAATCGCCTGACCCAGATAGAATTCCCACACTAGCACTTCATGTACTTGCTAATGAACTGTGCAAACCCCTATCCGCAATATTTCAAAAGTCATTTGAAGACGGCGAGCTCCCGGGGGGATGGAAGTGCGCACTCATGACCACATGCACATACTAACTGAGTGTTGGAAACACTCATGTGCGATTATTCGACTATGAACATGTGTCAATGCAACAACTGGGGTGTGGTCGCTACGCAAAGCATATCTTTGCAGGACTATCAATTAAAGCTGAATTTAAGGTATGGAAAAGGCTGAACGGTCAGTTGACCGACGACTTATATCCCAATTCGTTTGTCTTGGTCTCCATGTACTTTCCCCGTTTCACTGTTGTGTGCACTTCCGCGTCCTTATTTGCAAACTAATAGTCATTTCGATTTCACCGGATCTTATGTGACCCGATTACCTTAAGTTTAGAAAACGCTTTCCTAAATTTCACTCAACATTGAAAGTATCAGTAACGAGAGTTTTGTTTCAACCAATACCTATTCTGCCCAACTTTTGAAGATTATAGGAACATATGGACGAAGAGGCTCCTCTCGTTCAAAACGAGCATGGTTTGGGTCTTTCCTTTTATTACTCAGTTTAGTTCCACTTAGTAGGCCAGTTGTGGAACATGCGGAATCAAGGGGGAGTGGATTTGAGGCCACCGTTAATTGTCAAGTTTGCAATGCTGTTGTGCCTTTGGGAAATAAAGAAAAACAGTTGGTGGTGAAATGCCCTGTCTGTAATGAAGCAACTGTAAGCTGGATTTTTCTTATTGTGCGCGTTAGCCTATCAAAGGGCCTCCTCCAGGCAAACAATATGTTCGATGTCCGTGCAACTGCCTGTTGATTTGTAAGGCGTCTACGACACGCGTCGGTTGTCCCCGTCCCCAGTGTCAGCGCGTAATTACGCTTCCTGGGGTAAGATCTCCTTAACTTTTATCGCCATTTACACTACCATTTTACTTTTATAGTTAGCACTATAGTTACACTCTTGGCGTTGTAGTGTGCACTAGACATCTAGGCACTAGGCTCGAGTGCATTTGATCATACCTATCAAGCTCCTGCGACATTGCCGTAACTATTTTTAGTGCTTGACATCTACAGACTCCCTGTATCATTGCATTCACTAGCGCCTGCGATGTGATACACTGGTTCGGCAACTTCCGTGTGCTCTGTTCTGTTCATTTGGATGACGCCCACTCATCGGTGGTCGACAGTTATTTGCCTCTGTTTACTACTCATTCACATAGTCGAGCGTTTATCACAGTCCAAAAGAGCTCGCCGAACCTATTCGCGCATAAACCGCGTCTTCTTACAGATGAAGGTTCCAACCGGATCGCAGGCGTTCTAGCGTACCGTGTAAACCTCGAAAGATACGTGAACCTGGACGAATGTATCTCCTCTACTCCGTCCTTTCACAAGCAGCATTCTCCAAGATATGCGGAACTTCACCGCTCCAAGCGAGTGATTGTAAATCACATGGACTGCCTTTCTGGTCGTGGATAGATCTAGGGTTTATGACAGTTTGTAGACAATGGTCTATTATATAAAGCAGCGCATCTGCAGGAACATCCGTAGTGTAGACCTGGAGGTGTTCTTCGGCGCAGCATTCCGCAAAGTTCTACAAACTCTAAGCGAACAGATATTACACCAACAAACACCATTGTCTCGCCAACCAAATTTTGAGTGGTTTTTATGTTGGGACTTTTCTGTGTATTCAATGCACGCTTCGAAGTTCTTTGCAAGGGAATGAATTTGGTGAAATAACCACTTCAAAATACTGCACACAGACTAAGGAGTCTATTGTTCTCAGTGGGTGGTCACTTTTGTGAACTTTGGCGAGTTTACAACAATGCGCTTAGTTACCATACTGGCAGAAACGTACTAGTTAAAAACTCATACACGCGTGTCTCGCCGATCTTGTGCTGTTGCCTGATGCAGCTACGAGGGATTTGGCTCATTTTTGAGTCCCCCAACGTTCCCCACGTGTTTTCTGGTATATGAACTCCAGTTTAATCTGTTTTGTTTAGCTTCCGTGGAAGTTAATGATTGAACTTGGTGTTAATCGGTCGGAACGACTGAGTCCACTTTGTTTCAAAAATCTGGTGAAAACCCTCCAGTAGCCTTTCGATATGAATATCATGATTTTGTTGCACCAGCAGAGGTGTGTGTCGCGGTTAAGGTCCAAAATCTCCCTCGTCGGTAGGGAGGATGCTGATGTTTTCATCGGTTTTAAGTGCAGTTACTGCCATTTTTCGGTTCTTTAAGACTTGCACAGTGCTCTTTTTAATGTATGACGGACAGGCATTGGTACAAATTTTAGAATATTTCGTTAGGTATGGCGGAAACCCTGTTAGTTTTTCATGCTGTCCATGCGCCTGACGACGAGCTAAGTGAATATTTCCGAAACTTTATACAGTAGCCGTTTTCAACCTCAACGAATTTGTTTTACGAAGACGTTTTTGGTGGTAGATTCTCTCAACGTCCTTTTTTGAGTTATTCTGCAGTTTGGTTCTGTTCTTCAAAGCAACGTGCGAACACGACTGCGTCTGTGTAAAAAAGAAGCAATTGCTTTAGAAACGCAGTATCTACCTTCGTGATCATTGTTTTTTTAGAATTTATACCTAGTACAGCAGCTCACTGTGCGTCCAGGAGGGTTACTTGATTGCCCGCCCCCATTTCCATTGTAAATGCGACGTCGGCGTCACCCGAGTCCGGACCTTTTTTCCGGCTGTCAAAGCTGTCAGATCCGACAATCATTACTGACCTATGGAACCCGAAACTTCGGTAGATATTTGACGAAAACCAAGTGTCCTACACGCTTGTACTCTTCCCCTCTTTGGATTTTCCAGGCTTCGTCAGATGCCCTCGGTCCGTCAAATCTGGAAAATGTACCCATCAATGGGGGCACGTTCACCCAACGTAACGTTGCCATTCGCCTTACCTGCGGCAACTGCCATCGCCCCTTCTCCATCCCTTCGCCTCAGAATTCTTACTCAAATACGCGAACTTGCGCAGACCGCCTCATTTACTGTCTGTCTGGAGGCAGCGCTCCCAACTCTAATTTCCTCATCGCGGCACGCTGTCCTC